CATACTTTTCTATCAATATAGATTAACTTTAGTCTCTTTTAATTCGCTTTTATTTTTTTAATTATAAGAATTAGGAAAATAAAAATAAACTAGGCCAAGAAATAAAATTATCAATATAATATATCAAGTATTAATAAAAATGAACAAACTTTTATTTGAGTTTTTATTTCAAAAAATTCGGATTATTTAACATTTGAATTATTCAATTATTGATATTGTCTAATTCAAATAGATGGATATTTACAAATTTGTAATTGCTGTTTTCAATTTTTTTTGTAATTGAATTAAATTTCATAATTAAACAGTTCCTTTTTCGCATTTCGCATTTGAAATAGAAATGAAAAAGAATATGGTCCTAAAAAAAATATGTACAAAAAATCTCGTTTCAAATATAAATAATATAATAATATATTAAATTGTTATAAAAAACAAGAATCATTTAAGACATATTCGATATCGTATATTACACGAGTATTTCCATTACTCATCTTTCTTTAGAAATATTGATTAGCGGTATCATCGATTTTGTCGAAGATAAACAGGAAAAACAATATCTTGCAATATCTTTACTCGAAAAAATAAAAACAATTATATAGATTAAAAAATATATATTAAATATGTAATAAAATATGTAATAAAATTATACAAAATATTAAAATCCTACAAGAATTTATTGTTACAAATGATACTTATAAATCGATATCTCGACGATACTCGGTATTTCGATACTATCGCAGCGAGAATTAACTGTATTTATCTTTATTTTTATTAAATAATAAAATCCATAGAAAATTCTCTTTCTCTTTCTTTGATAACCTTTTTCTATTTTGTTTTTTTTTATCGAAGATTGATAACTTCCATAAAACCTAGGAGATTTCTTCCAATTCATATGATTCATTTAAAATTACATTTGTCACAAAGACTTCGTCGATCTGGTTATGTTTGCATTCTCCGGATTCCGTATGATGTCACACATTAGTTCGGAGAAGCAATATTCATCGGAGCTACAATTTGCTATTTCTGACGCACTGTAACGAGAAATGCGATAAATTCTTCATTGATAAAACATTTCGAAGTGTTTACAACTATTTACAAAAAGTAAATACGTTGGAAATAATAATAACAATCAAAGTATTCTGGTTTCATCTATGGTGACATGTGCCATTCACCACCTTCGCAGATCGATATTTTTAATATAGAAACGTGATATCGAAGAAAACATTATCACTTACTCATATTTATTTTAATTAATTAACTACTCCAGACTTTATTTTTTTATAAAATCACAAACAGTTTTATCTTCTATAGAAATGGCATATATGAAAACATTACCTTTATTAGATGGAGTGAAAGTAATTCTTATAGACGAAGGTTAATTCTCTTATTAAATATTCAAATTAAATTAATTTGTATTTTATAAATCAAAATAAGGATCAATTTTATTACGTTTTACAGATCAAGATGTAACACGTGCAACAGCATTAATAGCTGGATGGGTGCATATGTGGAAAGAAAAAAATTCCAATTACAGTATCGATTTATTATCGTTTGTCCATCCAAAAGCTTGGTATGACAACGAATCGGACCCACTTACATCTACAAATATAAATCTGCATGATTATTTTAGTGTTCAGTCAACTGAAGATGCTAAGAGAAAAGATTTGGAAAATCTTGATAATATACTTAAGACATTCAAATTGAAACCTCAGAATACTGTTATCGTTAACTGCTTGAGTTCTTTGTTTCTATATGTAGGTGTAAGAAGGGCTCTACAGTTTGTAGAGAAATTGAGTAAACAAGTATCACAATTAATATGTATTTATCGGGAGGATTTTATACAGACCAAATTTCCTGGAATTGAAACTTTTGGCACTACTTATGTTAAACTAGAAGAGTACATAGGAAACAAGCTTACAAACAAATTAGTTTATAATGCAAAGCTTATCCATAGAAAACCAGGTGGTTCTGTGATATGTCAAACAGAGGTCATATGGCAGGATATTCAATCTTATCAGATTAGTGCTGAAAAGATTACAGTGCCAAGCATTTGCAAGACAAAGATAGAACCACCAAAAATTGAAACAACATTTAGGATAGAACTGAATGCTCAAGAAAAGGAGCAAAGAGACAAAACACCTTTACCTTATACTGTGAGCGCGAAAAATACATCCAAGATATTTTATCAACCAGAAGACATAGATGATATAGACGAAGAAGATCCTGATGATGATCTATGTTTTTAAATATATAGAAATCAAAGAATCTGGATATGTATATGAAGAGTATAGTAATAACATATTTTATATTAAACTTTGTTAGATGTGTGAGTTTATATATTTCTCTATAAAACATGTTTTCCCTGATCCTGAAAATAACTTTTAGAAATAAGCTATCAAAATTTTAAAAACAAATATAAAATAATAAGGATAATCATTATTTCTTTCTAAAAAATATACAACCTGTTTCTGGATTATATCATTAATAAAATAAAATAGTCTTGAAAATGACTAACTAAAAATCGTTAGAAGTGTGTACCATTATATATCATTACATTATTGTTATCAATTTATGAATCAGATACATGATATCTTATTTTCCCAGTAATCTAAATAGGATTATATCATTTTCTGGAATAATTTAGATATGCTTCAATTAAAAATGCTATTAGTCTTTTTAAATTTTCAGCAGTTTAATCTGTGAATTTCTGAAGCGGTCACAATATTTTATTTGTATTACATTAGTATTATTCTGGGAGATGATTCTAGGAGATGATTTTAAACAATCAAGGAGTTATGTTTTGGTCTAATTGTCGTGTATTTATTACTCATCGGCATATACAGATTATAAGATTTATTTTAATAAATAAAATAATGGACACACAAGTTCAATATAAAGAATAACATCGTACGAAATTCACAGCAATTCTACTAAATTTTTCGAATATCTCATTACATAACTCTTATGTATTGTCAACTGGATATAATTAATACGTTTCTAAAACATTAAATACTTTCTATATTGCCTTCTTTGGTTCGTTTCTCAAAACTCAATCACCATTTTCATCACGTTTTCATTACATTCTTAATTAAACGTATTATAATAAAAATTAAGATCTTTATATATATAAAAATAGCTCTCTTTTTTAATATCAGAAGAATTTTCAAATTGATAAACTATGCGTGTTACGATTGTAGTCATATAATAAACACAGCCTTTATTCATTTTATAGGTTTATAGTAAAATAATTAAACTGTATCTAATACTGATATTTTCAGTAGATAATAAGAATATGTTTCTATTGTGCAATATAAATTATATCATATTTAATTAATATAAATATTTAAAAAGACGCTACTTTTATCAATAAATAATATTTTGTATATTTTTTTTCCTACGAATTGTATAAATAAAACTATATCATAAAATTATACAAGTCAAAATTATTTAATTAGTTTATGTATTTTAAAAATAACAAATACAATCAAACCTCCTATTTATAACACTGAGTTTTATTCAGTCTTCGTCAAATCAAATTCTCTTATATTGCTTTACTTTTACATTTGTTATTTTGATGTACATAAAATGAAAATAATCAGTGAAATCGTAAATACTATAAAAATGACAATATCTCATTTATCTTATAAAGAAAATCCAATAAGGAAGATAAAGAAGTTACTGATATTCATGAACAGACAATGTATAATGTTTCCATTTTACCATTTTGGATTATGTTATTGTATGTGAAGATCAAAAAAACTAAGACTAAAAAGATTTTTCAAGTTAAATATATAAAAATCATGAAGGTTTGATTGTATATTATTATATATAATTCAATCATTCTTGCTTCTTATTCAAATGATCATTATTTAAAATATAAATAATGGAACTATTTTGTTCTGTCGGAAATACAACCAAAACATTCGAAAATCGAATTATGCGTTAAACGTATAGAGAAGATTTTGATCATAAAAGTGATGTGTGCCATCGACATGTTGTAGAACTCTGCTCTCCAACAAGCAACGACCATATCTTACGGCATCTTCTCGATTATTGACAATGCCAACTTCAAGCAACCAGTTGACCAAATCTGTCCCCGAAAAAACTCCTCTATATACTCTTAATAATCGCCTACGACACATGGATATACGTGCTCGACATGCGTCTAAATGACATCGATTAAATTGTTCCCGAATCTCTTTTACTTCTTGGCTGAGAGCCTCCTCGCAAGGAAGTTGTAATTCTTTTCCTATTAAAATTACAAAATGTTATTAAATGTAAATGTATGTAACATAAAATATAAGATTAGGTATGTATTATAATATTATAAATGCATCTTACCAGATTGCCATTTTCTACACATTTTTCGCAACCAATATCCTAATTTACCGAGACTAGGATCTAATCCAAAGATAGCAAACGCTATTAACGATTGTCCAAAATTCAAAGTCACATCTAAGAATGCAAGCTCGGCATAAATGCCTGTTAATTGTTCCATTATTAATGTTCCCACGGATATCGATAAGCCCTATAATACATTTCAAAATTAATTCTACAATTTTAATGATATCCAAATTAAAAAATTAATAATTTACGCACAATAAACATGGAACACAAAAGTAAAATAAGAAAAACGAGATGTCGCAATATTTGAGCATCATCATCTGCATTTCTCCCATTTTCTTCTTCATAGTTCTGTTCGTTTCTATCTTCATCAGCTCTGCATGCTCCATTTGGACAACCATTTTGGAATTCACAGCCCATTCTAGAAATTTATGTCAATATAATCTAGATTTCTTTATATTTACATGTTTTTGAATTGACTTACAGTGTGTTAGGTGTTACATTAATTAATGGAGAAACTAAATCTTCCACATCTACTATAGTTCTTTCATTTCTTTCATTTCTTTCATTATTTTCAGTTATAGAATTTTCTACGTTATTTCTTAGATGCTCGTATGACATTGTATTATATCTTCTTTGATATCTCTGTTGCAAGATCAAACAACCTAATGTCACTGTGCAAAATAAGTTCTTATAAAATTTTATAAATTAGGTGTCTATAATAATCTAATAATAACAATTTTAAAAATATAAACTAACACTACTAACGCATATACTCTCTCTTTTTATTCTTGTAACATACCTATAAAACAGAATATTAATATAAACGAAGATACAGCAGCTTGAGTTCTGCCCAATTGAAAATTTGGATTTTTTAAATCAAGATCAGACGGATTCCATCTAACAGTGAGACATATTAATGTTACCATTAAAAGTGGCATTCTGCAAATTAATATACATTACAATAGATATCAAATAGATATTAATGTAGAAAATGTAAATTGTAAATTAATATATTTTATACCCCCATCCAATAGGATAAAACCATTTCTGGAGATTTTTAACAAAAGACAATGAACGTGAACTCAGAAATAGTAATGTTGCTGCGATCGCAGCTGTCCATATTCTGCTGGCATATACACCAGTAGTTATTAGAATAAACTGGATGTACCTATAATTAATAAAAATAATTAATGACAAAATTTTATTTCATGAGTTATCAATTATTAAACCTTACCAAAATATTGTTTGATTATTATTTGAGTCAAGTTTTGACCACATTATCACACCTATTGCTATTGTGAGCTGAAAATAAATAGAAAATATTTTGTACAAAAAATTCAACTAAATAATATGTGTGTGTGTGTGTGTGTGTGTGTGTGTGTGTGTGTATTATATACCTGTGCAATTATGAGACAAAGAGTGCATCGATGAGTAACTTGGTTGTATCTTTTCCGTCCAAATCCAAGAAAACATATCAACAACCATATACAAACTGCTGTTGACGCAACACTTATATCAAAACAAAAAATATTCAGTTGTCGTGCATAATTAGCTGGTGTAATTCCAGCAGAAACTGCATCGATCATTTTAGCCGATACGAACATAAGCGGAGCAGAGAGAAATGTACAAGCTACCATAGCGGATGCAATTAAGTCAATCTCGAGATTGTATCTTAAAGTGAAAATAAACAGAGCAGGCGCTGTCGGAATAGTACCGTACAGGAAGCCATATGTGCTTAAATCTCTTGTTTCCGTGACGTTATCCCCAGCATTCAAGAGAATAATAGATTCTCTTATGACTAGAGGCAAGACTAGCAGCTTCACTGAGATTAATATACCTGGTATAACTAGCGCAGTACCTTTCAATTTGTGTATCTTTCCTACCATCATTAAACCAAGTAGGAACAATGCGCTAGCCGAAAAAGCATTACCAAATACTTCGAGGATCGCAGCGAGCAAATGTGGTACGCTGTGACTAAAGATAAGATTTCCTACAATCCCCAGGACTGTCATAAAAAGCACAGGATTAAACACAACACCTTTCACAACAGAGTAAACCATATCTCTTAAATTTGTATGCTCTTCAACACGTCGTTTGCCTATCTCCAACAAAATGAAACCAATTGGATTTAAAATTGTCAGTGATATAGGAGCCATCAGGTATAAATAAGCGGCATATTCCGGATGCGTTTTTCCATAGAGAGCAGCGACTAAAATGACAATATTAAAAATAAAGAATACTAGATAATACAAAATTATGAATTGTGCATGATAATTCTTACTCATAGGATATCCAATGGCAAAATCATTGCTCTGAGTGGTAAATATTGCAAAGAGTGCAGCACGTCCAGGATTTGATGGCTTTTTAATTACTAATGAAACTGCAAGCACTATGATAAAGACACAACTCTTAGCAAGTAATACAGCGAGAAGAAATTTCCAATTAACTAAAGTGAAATCCAGCTTTGCCAAAGACATAAAGATTAAAGAAGGCAAAGCAAAAGTGCCAACAAAAGTATTTAGGCCATTTGCTTCCGTTTTTGTTATCACACCAAATCTTCCTGCTGTATACCTATAAAATATAAACATCCATTATAATTGTTGCAAATTTTTATATTTAAATATATTTAAATCATATAAGAAAACTTAAAAATCAATTTTAGAAAAATTTAAATACATTTATTTAAGTCTTTAATTCTTTTTAGACAATTAATTAATCAAAATATACGCATCCTTACCCGCATAGTATAATACCGAAGCATTGTATCAGTGCAAGATACAAGTTATCAGTTGGTTCATTTTCCGTTTCTGCATATTGATTTGAACTTGGTGCTAAAGATGTCGATAAAATACTTTCTTGATTAATCTAAATCAGAAAAAAGTATATATGTATTATAAGCACGTTTAATACAACATAAATTTGCAAGCTATAATTTATTTATATTTGATTTATATACCATTTTTTGCTATGTAAAAAGAATTATCATCTCAATACAATGTAATTAGAGGTATAAAATTGATCTCCTTGCGTAACGAATTCATATAACATTGTCCTCATATCATTAAAATATCAAAAAAGGATATGCATGTTTCAAAATTACAAAACAACCTGCAATCACAAGTTGTCTTTTAGTTTTTTGCATAATTATAAAATCTTTTCACATTCGTCCGATTTACATTCTAATAGATTTATCAGTATTCAAAAAGCAAAAAAAATTAAAGAATTGTGAAATAATATTGTATACTTTTCACATGCACACGAAAAACACACACACATGCAATTTACATAAATAAAGAAACTTTATCAATAGAAAGAGAACGATAAATCATCAGCATTTTCTTTTCCTCCAACAGTCGCATTGGAAATTCCAATTCAAACATATGTTTAAAGTCATGATTTAACATTCGTTGTACAATTACTTAAGATATCACTGTATGCGAGAGATATCGATCAATCGGAGTGCATGTTTCGTCTCGTAAATGCGGTAAAGAAGCGGAAAATTCCGTTGTACGTACCGCGTACGTTATCTGAATTTTGGCGACAGAAGATGAAGAGATTCCTATATCGAGTTGTCATGCGGGGACAAAGTCCGGCGCATCGTAGGCCATTCGCGACGGGCGCGAAGTCACGCAGAACGCAAAGCAGGTGTTCTCGCGCAGCCGCGACCATCAGTTGCCTCGACAAACGCGTAAAATGAGTAGCGATTGGCTCCGCATGTGTCACGTGACCCGTGAATTAATCACGTGCTCAGGTATGAGATTGGCAATCGATCTTCAAAATGTCAAATTATTTTATTTTGCCAACACGAGCAAACGGAAAATGAATATCCATTATGTCAGTTCACACTTGGTTGTTTTCATCTTCCTCTTGTAATTTATGCATTTTAAATTGTATAATTATAATATCGATATATATATAT